ATAAATAAAATCTTTTAAAAAAATGCAAAAGAATTATGTTTGACCTTTACCTCACACCATATACAAAAATTAACTTAAAACAGATCAAAGAGCTAAATGTACAGAAGTCTTAGAAGAAAACTTAGGGGTTAATCTCTATAACCTTAGATTTGGTAATGTATTTTTAGATATGACACCGAAAGCCTGAGCAACGGGAGAGAAAGAATAGATAAATTGGACATTGGCAAAATTAAAACCTTTAAGCTTCAAAGCACACTGTTAAGAGAGTGAAAAGGCATCCTACAGAATGGGAGAAAATATTTGCAAATCATACGTCTGTCAAGAGTCTAATATCCATAGTATATAAAGAATTTTTGTAACTCAACCATACAAACAACACAATTAAAAAATAGGCACAGGATCTGAACTGACTTTTCTCCAAAGACATACAAATAGCCCACAAGCACATGAAAACACATATAACATCATTAGTCATTATGGAAATGCAAATCAAAACCACAATGAGATTTTACCTCATACTTACTATGGTAGGTATAATTAAAAACTAAAATGGACAGTAACAAGTGTTGGCAAGAATATGGAGAAACTGAAACTCTCATACGCTGCTGGTAGGAACATAATATGGTGCAAGTGATGTGGAAAGCAGTTTGTTGGTTTCACAATAAGTTAAACATAGCATTATTATATGATCCAGCTATTCCACTCTTAGGTATATACCCAAAAGAATCGAAAACAAGTATTCAAACAAAAACTCGTACATGATTGTTCATAGCAGCACTATTCACAATAGCGAAAAGATGGAAAGAACCCAAATATCCATCATGTGATGAATGGATAATAATATATGGTATATGCACATTAACAGAATGTTATTCCACCATAAGAAAGAATAAAGTACTCCTACATACTACAATATGGATGAACCTAGAAAACATTATGCTAAATGAAAGAAGCCAGACACAAAATGTCACATATTGTATGACTCCATTTATATAAAATATCCAGAATAGGTAGATCCACTGAGACAGAAAGTAGAAAAGTAGTTGCCAGGGGCTCAGGCGAGGGAAGATTAGGAGTGATTATTTCATGGCTACAGGGTTTCCTTTGGGGTGATGAAATTATTTTGGAACTAGACAGAGGTGGAGGTTACACAACACTGTGGATATACTAAATGCCACTGAACTGTATAGACACTTCAAAATAGGTAATTTAATGTGAGTTTTACCTTAAGATGAATGAATGGGAGAAAGAAAGAAAAACCAGACTCTAAAAACCTTTCATTTACTACAGAAGAATAATTATTTATGCTTGTGAATACCTTCCAACTTGGATGCACAGTTCTTTGTCATTATGTCTATGTATAATCACAAACCATTATTTCCCAAATACATGATCTTAAATTTCACCCAATATTATGTTTTACAACATATTACAACCCAGCTGAGACCTGTTAAATCAGCATCTACAAAAGAAATCCATCTCATGTAATTCTTTTTGTAAAAGATTTTATTTATATATTAGAGAGAGAGAGAGAGAGAGAGAAGAAGTGGGGGGAGGGGCAGAGGGAGAGGGAGAAGCCAACTCCCAGCTGAGCAGGGAGCCCAAGGTGGGGCTTGATCCCAGGACCCTGGGATCATGACCTGAGCTGAAGGTAGACGCTCAATGGACTGAGCCACCCAGGCGCCCCTATCCCATGTAATTCTTAGTATCAGACAAGTTTAACTACTATTTAGCACAATTATTTTTTCTGATGAAAAATAAAATGATTTAGCTATATTGTGGGTGACAGGTAAAAGACTTTAGTTAGAAATGTTAATCTATTAAGCAGAAGCAACATTTACTTATTTTAATCAAATAATACGAATTTCTGAGTAATTCCTTTAGGATAAGGAGGAAAATCATCTGTGATTACTGTTAAGTGTTCCCACTCAGGATAATGTTCAGCTAAGTAGGCATTTTTGAAAAAGACAGCACTGCCAAGTATTGGCAACAGAAATTATCTTGCATTGTTGGTAAAAGTGTAAATTGGTACAGTCCTTCTGGAGAAAAGTTTGGCAACATGTATTAAAATTTAAAATGTAGGGCGCCTGGGTGGCTCAGTTGGTTAAGCGACTGCCTTCGGCTCAGGTCATGATCCTGGAGTCCCGGGATCGAGGCCCGGTTCTCCCTCTGACCCTGTCCCCTCTCATGTGCTCTCTCTCTCTCATTCTCTCTCTCAAATAAATAAAATCTTTAAAAAAAAATTTTTAAATGTACATAATCCTTGATCTATCCATCTCACCAACAGAAATTCAAACCAAGGAGATAATTAGATGAGGTGTTTGTTTGAGGATATTCATCACACTAATGAAAACTGGAAACAATCTAAATGTCTATTAATAGAGTCCTGGGTAAATAATTAACAGTGCACTAGGAAATACTGTGAAGTCATTTAAAAAAGAAACCATCTACATTCATTCTTCATAGGAATTATAGAGTGGAAAGGGCTCCAGTTATGGAGAATCTCTGTTTTTTTCTTGTGTCAAATCCCATTATTCCTCTGACTTTGAACATTGTTTTTTGGCATACAGACTCTTACACTTAGCTTATCACACTGTTGTTAATGCTTGCCTAATTACCAGTGGCTCCCACCATACTGTGAACTTCCTGAGAATAAGGACTGTATTGTGTCCTTTTTCCAGAGTCTACAACAGTGCCTGGCACATGAGAAGTGCTCAATAAATATTTGTTAAATTAGGGGCGCCTGGGTGGCTCAGTTGGTTAAGCATCTGCCTTCGGGTCAGGTCCTGATCTCAGGGTCCCGGGATGGAGCCCCGCATTAGGCTCCCTGCTCAGTGGGGAGTTAGCTTCTCCTTCTCCCTCTGCCCCTTCCCCCTTCTTGTGCACGCTCTCTCTCTCTCTGACAAAATCTTTAAAAAAATTTGTTAAATAAAATTAAGAAATACAAAAAAATGATATATGTTTTTAAATGCTTAAATACACTTGTAATCAAAGAAATAAAGATTTTAAAAAGGAAAGAGAATTTTCTCCCAAATTTGTCAATCCCAAAAGACACCCACTTTGGTCAAGGATAGGAAGAAGTGGAAAAAACTATTATGTTGTAAATAGTAATCATCACAATATAACTAAAGGGCAATTTGGCCACATGTGTGTAGCACACAGCACAGATTCTGAAGTCAGACAGAACGAAAATGAACTAGTTCAGACTAGTTATCTGAACTTGGGAAGTTATGCAGCACCTCTAAACTTCAGTTTCCTCACTTGTAAAGGAAATCAGATTTACTAGTAAAGTAAATCAACATGATACTTAGAGCTGTAATATTGCAGCTTATTAAAATTAACAAAGAGCTACTTCAATCTATTTTATTTTTTTAAGTTTATTTATTTAAGTAATCTCTATACCCAATTGGGGCTCAAATCCCTGACCCCAAGATCAAGAGTCACATGCTCTTCAGACCGAGCCAGCCAGGCGCCCTACTTAAATGTACTTTAAAACTAAGCCATGTGTTTCATAAGAATCTTCCATATAAAATAACTAATTAAATTTTCTTAAAAAAGTGGGTATAATTCATTCATTCATCCCAAAACTATTTGTTGGGTACAGTATTCAGCAACTGGCTGTATGTCAGGCACATGCACTAATCACAGGGGATATAACAGTGAAAGAACTAAGTCCCTATAATGGTAAGAGAGATAAGAGAGTGAATCTGAAAATACATGGCAATGTGAACTACTGAAACATGTGGGTAGAGAAGTGGAGAAGGCTTTATGAGGGGACACTTGAGCAGAGACCTGACAAGTGATAAGGCAAGTTACGTAGATGTGTGGGAAAAGAGAGTTCCAGGAAAAGGGGCGGCGAATGCTCAGTTGCAGGAGCACGTGACAGCAACAGACACCAGCATGGCTAAGGAGGGGAAATCAAACAGGAAGGGTTATAGGAGGTGAATTCTGAAAGGTAACCTGTATCAGACTCCGTGGGGCTCTGCAGGCCAAGGTAGGGATGTGGAGTTTGTTCCAAGTGTGATGGAGAACAGTGGAAGGTTCTGAGCAGGGCAATGACATCATCATATTTTTACCTTAAGAGATTTATTCTGGCTATTTTGGGGGAAACTTGACTAAAAGGGGCAAGAATGAAAGCAGGAAGGTCACTTAGAGGCCACTGTAATAGTGTGAGCGAGAGACGGTGGCTGAGAACACAGAGCATCTGAAGTGGCGGTGGTGAGAAGTAGTCATGTTCAGGATGTATTTCAGACATAGCACTGTGAGGATTCCACTTCTAAGAACCTAACTCAAAGATTTCACCGTTGCTATTCAAGAAGATTTAAATGCAAGGATACATAAAATAGGCTGCTTACAAAACTTTATACAAGTTGATGGTTTAATAAACTCTGGTATAGCCACAAAGCGATAAATGAGGCAGTCATTTAGAAATGATGATTTTGAATACATGACGACACAGAAAAATGTTCATATACTATGTTAAGTGAAAATAACTGGTCACAAAACAAAGTGTTCAATATTAATCCATTTTGTCCAAATAAAATGTATAGAAAAAAGATTGGGGGTGCCCGGGTAGCTCAGTTGGTTAAGCATCCAACTCTTGATTTTTGCTCAGATCATGATTATAGGGTCATGAGACTGAGCCCGTGTCAGGCTCTGTGCTTAGCGGGGAGTCTGCTTGAGAGTCTCTTTCCCTCTGCCCCTCCCCCTGCTCGCCTGCTCTCTCTTTCCCTAAAATAAATAAAGAAATCTTAAAAAAAAAAGACTGAAAGTTATACATCAGCATGCTAACAAAATATCTCTCTGGGTTGTGAAATTACTCATTTGTCACTTTGCTTCTTTGAGCTTACTGTATTTTTCAAATTTTCTGTAATGACAATGTATTACTTCTACAGGAAGAAATGATTTTGAAAATGTAATACTGAGAAGAACATTTTCAACAAATAAGATTACTGAAGAATAACCATTTCAGTCTGTTAATAGTTTTCTTTGTTACTTACCATTACTTTTCGCAAAGTGTATCTTTTGGATCGAATATCGTCCATTAGCATCTCATAAGGGGTGAGCTGATATTCAATGGGCAAAGGGTTGTACTGCCGCTCTTGGACCTTCTTAAGTTTTACTCCATTCCGCAAATCCCTCATCACCTGAACCCAGAATCGAGCCTAAAAGAACCAAGGGTGGAGAGATGTTCATGAATAAATTTACCAGTTTCCTCTAGATAGCTAGTCAGAGAGAAAAAATGAAGAGCTTGGTTTGCAAAACACTGAGTAAGCCGAACAAAACCACTTTTTAAAATTAGGTTTAAGGATATTAAAATGTGGAAAGAAAGCCAGTCAAGATTCATAAGCTCTAAGTGCTGAGTCACCTGAGTGTAAACCCTACTCACCTACTGTGGAAGGCTGCATTAATGGGCTCAGTCCTGTTATGTGATTTTGCTCACTAAAGAGGAATGTATGTCCCACACCCTAATACTGGATTTGCCTATGTGATTTGCTTGGCCACTGAAACAGTAGTTGAAATGATGTGACCAAAGGCTGCAAAAGCAAATGCACAATGGGCTTGTCACTGGTGCTTCTATTATTGCCATGAGAACCTCATGCCTGGACTGACAGGCTGCCCAGGAGAAGGATGAGACATACATAGAGTGGAGCTACCACAACTGACCTGTACACTCATAACCTAAATAAATGTACTGCTTTATGCGACTATGATTCTGTAGTGGTTGGTTAGTCAGCATTACTGTGACCACAGCTAATTGATAAAACCACCTATTAGCTACCTGACATCCAGCAAGGTGCTTCACCTTTCTGAACCCTGGATTCCTCATCAATAAAAGAAAATGGTACTTCATAACTTGCTGAGATGGCCAGAACTGGTATACAGTGTTCTGTACACAGAAAATGCTCAAAAGTGATCATTTTTATGTTATCACTATCTTTGCACAAATTATTTAATATCCATTTTCTTAACAAATAATGGTGAGTTGCCTTGTTGGCCCTTCAAGAAAATGAGATATATATGAAGTTCTTATAATAATATAAGACACATCAAATATGTATGTTATTATTATTACTATTATTATACATTAATCCTTTTATTTTTCTGCCTAAAAGCTAAGATGTAGTCTCTACTTCTGTGAAAAGTAAATCATTATGATATCTAACTGAAACACTTTAGTTTGTTGAAATTAATAAGTGGCTCAAATGGCTACTTAAATATATTTATTAAAAACCAAGTGATAAGGGTGTCTGGATGGTTCAGTCAGAAGAGCATGGGACTCTTGATCTCAGGGTTGTGAGTTTAAGCCCCATGTTGGGTGCAGAGATTACTTAAATAAATAAAAAAAACTTAAAAAAAAGTGATGTATTTCCTAAGAATTATCTACATAAGATAACTCTGGATTAAATTTCTCAAAAATGTCTTCAAAAACAATTTATGATTTTAAAAACATGTATGCCATTTCTTATTCCACAGAGGATTTGACGCACTTACTACTGTGGTATATATCCATTAGAATACCTTCTAAAATATTCCTATTTAAACAGATTCTTAGATTCTGCCATTAAAATTACTCTAATACAATATTCCTAAAATATTTAGATTTTTCTTTTGAGAATGCTCTTGTCCCAAATTCTCTTATACTCATTTCTTTAAGATCCAGTTCAAATATCATCTCATCCTTTAAAATTCTGTCTCTTTTCTTGACCTCCCCACGCCTTAAGAAAAAACTGACATATGTGAAACTTTGAATTCTCCAAAAAGATAAATTAGAGGATAATTACTCACATTTGAAGATTTTGCTATAATTATGCAAGGATTCAAACAGACCTTTTATATAGCCAGTTCTTTATATATTATCATTTGGCAAAAATTTTCAGAAATCTAATTCAGAAATTAAAGTCATAGTAGGCATATAAAATAATATACAACTGTCATTGTATGTATTCCCAGAGATTTTATTTACCTCATATTCCACCAGGGAGATCCTGAGATGTTTAGATCCTGCCATTAAAAATATCCTAATTCTCCCTCATTCTATTCCTCATTCTTTACTCATTTCTTTCTAATATTTCTAAATAATTCATTGTAATGGTCTTACAAGAAACAGACTGGTGATCTAGGCAAATGGAACTCTCCATGCAGTTAGTGCATCTCTTGTCAGTGATCCTACTAGTTTTTAAAAGAGCTTGCCTTAAGGCAATAAATTAAATTTTTAGTTCAAGTTTATATTAACTGTTTGCTAAATTCTGACCACCTGGAGTTATTTATCTGGTTTCCATGTCTAAGAAAAAAATTTAAAAATGTATTAGCCAAGATGAAATATACCTGGAAAAAGACTACCAGAGTATTCTATACAAAGGAAACTTGATAATCAGTATTATTCTAAAATGACAATACTCACTTATAAGATATTACAGCCTACTTGTTTTTTAACCCTACTCTTAAATTTTCCAGATTAATATCATTCCAAATATCTCAGTAAAGATATCATCAATAAATTAAGAATATTTACATTCATACATCAACACATGTAGATCCATACAATGGAATGGACTACTACTAGTAATAAAAACATTAAACTATTGATACAGGCAACAACATGGATGAAATCTCAAAAGAATTACGCTGAATGGAAGAAGCCAAGCAAAAAATGGTACATACTATATGATTACATTTATATAAAATTTTAGAAAACGAAAACTAATCTATAGTGAGAGAAAGCAGGTCACTGATTGCCTAGAAGAAAGGAGTTTCATGGGTTTCATGGGTATGTATGTTGTGTGTATATGTCAAAACTTATCAAATTGTGCCTTTTAAATATGTGCAACTTATTGCATGCTGATTATACTTTAATAAAGCTGTTAGAAAAGAATTAAACAAACAGTTAAAATCTAATATGGTCAAAAGCAACTTGTTCATATCCCCCAAATCTGCTTCTATTCCTAGTCTCTCATTTAATGATGTCATTATTTAACCATTATTTCCTTAACCTGAAAAGTCAGAATCCTGAAATGTGCCTTCCCATTGACACCTGAACATACCTCAGTCTAATTTCATGACACTGACTCTCCTGTCCTCAACGCTGTCATGCCCACCCAACTCTAAGTCATATATGAGGGCAGGGACTCTTGGTTTCACAAGGATCTAGAATCATGCCAGAAAAACTGGCTACTTAAAGTGTGTCGCATAAATATACTGCAATCATCTGTGCTAAAAGTCTGTCTTCTGTTTTATGAGGGCAGAGATCCTGTATTATTCATTTTGCATCCCCAGAACACTAATCCAGTAACTATTCATCGGATAAATGAATGTACTACATTATAGTTTCACACCTTATCCTGAAACAGAGCTTATATTTTGACTTATGAGTATGCTAAAGTAGTAATATAATTAAAAAGGTCAACATTTTAAAATACCTAAATTCTCAGAAGACATTGGGGGTAGCTTTAATAAAACCAGTTAGTTTTGTAAAATGGGGAATAGATATTTCCTCAAATATAAGACTAGACATTCAAATTCATACAATATCAATTCGTATTACAGCCCTTAGTAACAAGCATTTTATTTTATTTTAAAAATATTTTATTTATTTATTTGAGAGCAAGAGAGTGAGGAAGAGAGGGAGCATGAGCAGGGGGAGGGGCAGAGGGAGAAGCAGGCTCCCCAGTGAGCAGGGAGCCCGATGAGGGGCTCAATCCCAGGACCCAGGGATCATGACCCAAGCTGAAGGCAGACACTCAACCAACTGAGCCACCCAGGTGCCCCAATAACAAGCATTTTAAAAAACATTACACTATGGGGCACCTGGGTAGCTCAGTCAGTTAAGCGTCCGACTCTTGGTTTCGGCTCAAGTCATGATCTCTGGGTCCTGAGATCAAGCCCTGCGTTGGGCTTCCTGTTGAGTGGAGAGTCTGCTTCCCCTCTCTGTCCCTCTGCCCCTCCCCGCCCACTCATGCACTCTTTCTCTCTCCAAAATAAATAAATCAATCTTTTAAAAAACAAAACAATACCCAAAAAAACACATTACACTATGTCTTCGACACTAAGCAGAACAGAGAATGTCCAACTACCTTACCCAGTCAGCGTTTTTCAGCTCTTCCAGGTCTGTGTTAGATTCATCACTTTTTTCCATTTCTTGAATCTTCTTAAGATTCTACCAATTAAAATAAAAAGAAAACATTTAGGTATAAAAATTTCATTAAGCTACCTTCTCAAATTAAAATTTCTAACAGATACCTTCAGACAAAGTAAATACAGAAGTGTTACTGAAACAGTACAGAATCTACTTCTCTGTAGATTTCAGTCAATGGTAGGCTAGAATAAATACAATACTACAGAGGGATGAACTGAGATTGATCATCCTAATTTCCTTCTAGGCCTTGTGGCTAACTTTGTCACCAAATTAACTTGTACCCCTAAGCTGTAGTGACACTGCCCTCTCCCTCAACCTCCATATTCAATCCACCATTAAATCTCAAAGATATTACTTTCTCCATATAACCTAAGCCCTCTTCTTTTTATCTCCCCTGCAGATCTCTTAATTTAAACACTATCTAATTTTTGCCTGATTTCTGATGTGGTCTTGCCCTGGATGCTCTCCTCTCCTCATCCCCAGGTCTGGTCTCTTTCATTCCTACTTCTGCTCTTCCTTCAGATACTGGGCTCAACAGAATCACCAATTCTTCAGGAAAGCCTTTCCTTCCCCCTCTTCCAAAGCCAAATCTTCTTACTATACAATGGCATATAGCACCGTACACCTTCCTCTGTAGCCCTTATTACACTGTAATTCTACATTTGTTTATGCCTTCCCCCTAGGTTGCATGAAGCAAAAGTCTATTCTCAGGGGCTAAAATAAGCACTGGCACTTTTCATGCTCCGTATATATTTGTCAAATAATTTCATGAATAAATTTCAATATATAAAATGTTTTATTATTTGATACATGTGTATATCACAAAAATCGTTAGTGCAATAAGGTAAATTACCACCTCCACCACCTCATATAATTACCTTATTGTGTATGTGGTGAGAACCTTTCAGATCTACTTTCAGCAACTTTCCAGCATGTAAGACAATATTGTTAACTACAGTCAACATGCTGTACATTAAGTCTCCAGAACTTACTCATCTTAGAACTGCAAGTTTGGACCCTTTTTTGCTTATTTTTTTATTTTTTTATTTGAGTATAGTTGACACACAATGTTACACCCCATGAAACTGCAGTAATCCAACATTTGCAATTTTAAGAAAATCTTGATAAGTAAAACATCTATTCACCTATTAATTACCAGTTTGCGTTATTCCATTCCTACTCACAATAAATCAACTCTAGTATATTTTACTTTTCGTTGAGCCTATTTTCCTGAATGTATGTGGACTGAGTTTAAATGTACTGTATGAAACCTAGTTTATTTTACATGAAAATAATGAATACTTAATAGAAAACATTTCTAAACCATTTATTTTTGGCTTCTCAACATCTGAGACTGACCTTCCACAAAATGAGAATAACACCACCTGTTTATTTTTGTACTTAATAGTGTATAGGAGTATTAATATATGAAGAATAAAATTACTCTGAACATTTGAAGAAAATGGTATAAATAATGCATTATTTCTTCTCTTGCTAAGAAAGAAATTATGGGGGGGGAGTACTTTTACTTGTTTCAGAATGTGTTTCCATAATGACAGGTAATTTCTGATTTCTGAAGGTTCATGTGAGCCACTTCACTTTAACTGAAGACCGACACTAGCACCTACACTGTGTTTTGCTAGCTGAAAGAAATCCAAAGAAATTGTGCTTTTAAGGAAAAAGCCATTACCATCCTAGTGTAGGTCTTTCATAATGTAGGTTTTCTGTAAAGGTAAAGTGGCATAATGTGAACTTTTGGAAAGCAGGGGAAACCGTATTTTATTTATTTATTTGTTTATTTATTTTTTAACATTTTGGAAACCCTATTTTAAAACAAAGTCAGGTTTCTTGTTTGAGATTATGTAGTAAGACACTTGCTACCCGAGTCATGCTACATTACCAACTTTGGGCCCATGTTTCTCCACCTTTAAGAGGAAGGTATTAATATCTACCTCACGATGCTGTTGTATTTAAAATATAATCAGTTAAATATAGCAGAACCTTGCATTTACAGCCCCTGGGGAAAAGCACCTCCAAAAACATGTATGTCTGAATTCTCTGTACTGCCCCAGCCCCACGCCCGAATCCTCATCCAGCGCCTTGCTCTTTTCCAATGGTCTTGGCTACTGCTCTTGGCTGCAGCAGGCTGTGGGGAAATAATGAGAGCTAACAAGGGCTAAGGCTTCAAGCAGCCAATATTTGGCCCCAAGCACAACTCTTGTTATGGTTGGACTCACAACTGAGGCTCCCAAAAACTAAATGACATGGCTGCAGTCTCCCCGCAGGTGGGATGGAGCAGAGTGAAGTAGGTAAAAGTGGCATCAAGGTCTCAGACATGAGGTAAGATGTGCGGAAGGGACACCAGATGAATGGTCCTGTTGGGAACCTAAGAGTCCTGTTGCTGACCCCAATGGCTTAGAAAAGTCTTAGAAAACAGCTGGATAAAGTTGTACTTTACTTTTGCTAAAATTAGTATTTATGAATTGATATTACACAAGAAAAAAGAACAGTTTATAAATTGTAACTGGGCTTTGCAGATAATGGGCACTTAATATCTGGTACCACATTATGTCAAAATCTGAGTAATAATCCTTATTACTAAAATCAGGATTCTTCGTTTTTCTGTGTCTAAAGACATACCAGATGTCCTGGTATAAACAATATTTCTGATATTCAAAATACCTAATTTTTTTTGCTAGGGATTATTAGTTGTCATTTAAAAAATCTCTGATGATTTAAAGCCACAGTTTTCAACTCAAGTCCACCATCTTCATCAAGTATTCATATTTTGAATTCAGAGCTGAGCAGAGAGGAGACCAAAAGGAGAGGCACACACACATTTTTGTTCCTATGAAGACTGTAATCCAGGTTCTATCCCAAAAACAATTAATGGCTTAAGGTATATATTATTCTATTGACCAGAAGAGTGTTCGTTCTAGATTTTTGTAATTAAAATAGTGAAAGAAAAGAGATTAAGGAGGTGAACTCCCTTTGGGCACCTAGGCACTCTACCAGGCTATGACGTCTCTATCATAGCCTATGATATGCTATGGGCTCCTCCCTCCCCAACCCAAAAAACCAAGAGCTGAGAATAAGTACTTCATCTCTATTTCTTCCCACTCCAGTCTTAGGGCATTTGCATTGGCTGTTCCCTCTTGCCAGAACGCTTTACCCCACATATCCACATAGCTAATTCCCATACATCATTTTTGCTCAAATGTCACCTTCTCAATGGGACCTACCTTAACTATCCTATACAAATCCCAAGCTCCACGCTCTGTCCCTAGCAATTCCCCTAGTCTATGCCTTTTCCCAGAAAGCATCCTCCTTCTAACAGTGTATATGACTTACTTAATATGTTTACTGCCTGCCTCTCGTTGCCAGATTTTAAGCTTCATAAGGAAGTATTTTTGTGTATTTTGTTCAGTGATGGGCTCCTCAAATCTCTAAAAGTATGCCTTGCACTTGGTAGGTGCTTGGTAAGTATTTATTGAATAAGTGAATTAAAATCTTTCAGCCAAGAACAGTCCAACTCTTAAATCTCCTCAACAGTTCTTATCAACTTTTTTTTTTCTTAAAGATTCCATCTATTCATTTGACAGAGGGAGAGAGAGCACAAGCAGGCAGACAGGCAGGCAGTGGGAGAGGGAGAAGCAGGCTCCCCGCTGAGCACAGAGCCCGATGTGGGACTTGACCCCAGGACGCCGGGACCACGACCGGAGCGGAAGGCAGATGCCCAACCGACCGAGCCACCCAGGCACCCCTCAAGTCAACTTTATTTACTTATTTATTTTTTTAAGAGAAAGGAATTCTTTTCTTTTAAAGATTTTATTTATTTATTTGAGAGAGCGAGAATGAGACAGGGAGAGCACATGAGAGGGGGGAGGGTCAGAGGGAGAAGCAGACTCCCCGGCTGAGCAGGGAGCCCGATGTGGGACTCGATCCCGGGACTCCAGGATCATGACCTGAGCTGAAGGCAGTCGCTTAACCAACTGAGCCACCCAGGCGCCCTCAAGTCAACTTTAATAAGAAGCCCAATGAAAGGGAAAATTATTCAGAGGAAAACCTGAATTTTTTTCTCTAAACTCAGAATCCACTGGAAGGGTGGAGAAGAAAACCTCTATTTATGCCACAGAGAAAAATATGCTCTCTAGTTCAGGGAAATAAATATGTAACCCAAGCTCACATTACATTTAAGTGTCTCATTCAGTCAACAGATGATAAAATAAATAATAAAATAAATAAATTAAAAAGAAAAATTAATAAGCCTAATACCATACAGAAGAAACGAAGTAATAATAATACTAAACAGGTCAGTAAGATTCAGTCAGCATCAAAATAAATTGGTTTGAAACCTTTATGCCTGAGAGGATCAAGTATGTATACATGTGCCAACACCATAACAACACACCTTCCCCATCTGTAACCAAGAGCACAAAGAGCCCCAAACTGCACTAAATTTTTTCTGTCGTATTTCCCCTGTCAGCTTAAGGCTGATTCCACGACAAGCACTATATTGTTTACCAAGGATCTATAAACCAAAAGATAATGAAAAAAGCTGAAAACACGTAGGAGAGGCTCATTTTTACAAGCCTATATATATATATATATATATATATATATATATATATATATATATATATATACATATTATATATATATAATTTTTTTTTAAATTTCCAATGGTCTCTAGCCCTTCTAGGATCCAAACAAGAGAAAGCAAAACAGTATGGATACAGTAGAAGATGGGCGGTCTTTGGCAAGATGAAAATATTTATCTTTTTTTGATTCTTACTGCTACTACTAAAGTTGATTACAGCAAGTCTCTCAACTGTTCTTTCTGCTCCAGTTTCTTCCTCATTTGGTTTATCTCTTCACTTCCCTACAATGGGTTCCCGACTGTCTCTGCTGGGGCCTTCAAACTGGGTACCTGTACTTCTGGGGACCTCTGGTCAAACACTACAGCGATATACCAGGGAGCATTTATAATGACATATGTTACTCACAGATAATGTGATGAA